GTAAACAGGCAGTAAAAAACAGGCAGGAGATATATTTTGTCATTCTCAAATTAAAAGTCTGTAAACACTAAGTGAGTTGAAATACAGTACATCTCACACACCTTTGTAAAAATAAATTTCAAATGACACATGGCAATTCTCTCCTAAATTACAAGTTTTCCATTGTTATTAGAGATGCTACATATACTTAAATACCTGACTAAAAGTACCCTCTGTCCTCTTTCACAGGGACATCATGGAGATATCTACAGAAATACTTGGTTTTATAGGCAATGTCAGGAATTTGCAGGATTTTCTTTTAGCTTTTTCCAAGCATAGAAAATACTTTAAAACATTTCACGTCAACTTGAAACTTCCTTTAATTAATATACTCATTCTACATATTGGCATTCTATGCTCTAAAATACACTTCCCTCATTACAATGATGGCACCTGCTACTAAAAATCTTCCAGTCCCTCTTCCCCCAGACCAGCTGCACTTCAGGAGGAGGAGGAGATCATCATATTCAATAAAGGCTATAACCTATCTACTAATTAATGTACTATGAACTCCACCATAATATCATGTAACCTGATTTAACTGCTTGTCTGATTGATTTGATGCTTTTTATTGCTGCTTCTGCAGCCACTAAGACTACTAACATTTAAAGACTTTGACATACTTCAGCCTGAGTTCTTTGATGCACTATTCATTTAATATTCAACTAAATAAATCACTTATCTTGCTGTTTAATAGTTATTAAGTATTTTTCAAAATTATGACATTTCTGGAAGTTTCTATAGATGAGTATCTCTGAATATCAGTTTCTGAAAAAAAATAAGAATACTGCAACTTTAAAAAATAATATACAGATTTGAATTTGTTACACACCTTTGGAGCCCATTATCTGAGCAATCTCACACTGAAACATGAATCCCAATCAAACTGTAGCTTACACCGTATATAGGATAAAAAGAATATTACACAGGGGGAGGCTTATATTCAGCTGCTATCTATCTGTGTATATTTTTGTCTACTCAAGGCTAGCACAACATCCCTCCCTCATAAATGATCTGCTAGATATGCTGAGGGCAGCTAATACTTTGCCACAAAGCTTTTAAAATTAACTGTGTTAACTTCCATTCATATACACAGCAATTTATATCACAAAATGCTTATCCACAATGAGCTACCCAACAGAAGTTCTGTGACACAGAAGGCAGAGCGGGTGTTGTTTTAAATAACCTGTAGCATTGATGTCAATCATCTCCCCGTGTGTAATAATCTCAGAAGAGGAATGGAAATCCAGCCCTGGGGTTTCTTACCTTAAATCTAAGCAACCACTTAATGCATAAATGGAGCAAATAAAAGAGGTAAGGAAAAAAAGCATTGAAAGGTTAGTTGGAACTTCAGGATATGAAGAGAAAGGAAAAAGAAAGAAAAAAGTTAAGCATTCAGCATTAACAAAATAATGTATCAGTAGATCATAGAAAGAGTGGTTAAAGCAGAATGTCATGAACAAAAGATCTTCAAGCTGAAACTTTTAATATACATTGACCGCTTTAAAATTAGCATTCAAATGTTCGTACACTGTTTACTCAAGTTCTTACAGTGCTAACAAAAAGGCAGCTTCTTTCAAAACGTATCATGAGATCTAGATGCATTAACTTCAGAGGTTAATTTATTTGAGCTGTCAAAGCCTTATTTGAGCCTTATCAATGATTCTGAGCTCATTTAAATTGTTTACATGCATTAGCACATTTACAAGTAGCTGAAATGGAAGCTTCTAACATATTAAGCTAATGCATGTTCTTTTATAGAGAATGCTGTTAGTTAACTTGATGCCATGAGATCTCTCTTGAACAAAGATCAAGAGCAAATCATTCAGTCTTGTAAGAAGTACAGCACTCTTATGGATACTGTATCACATATCCATATTTCCTAAAGTATAAATTAAGACATGAATCAACAGATTAAAATCTTACTTTAAAGCCTAAGTGCTAGCTTTTTGACACTAAGTTCTGCATCTTACTGGCACAGTATCATACATCTTTGTCCATAGTATTTTCTTTTAAAATTACTTGTCTTTCTCTTTGAATGATCTGGTTTTAGTTCAATTCATCTAAATGTATCATTAAATTTGTTACACTTTCTGCAGCACTGAACAGCAAATATTCAAATATTTAAATATTAAAATAAATAATTATTTAAATATTTGGATAAATAGTAGAGCATCCAGAGTAACTGACTTGTTCCATCAATTGAGGAGAGACTCTGCTCTACTAAAAGGAAACACAATCTGATTTACTAGAAAAATCTCCTGTCCTAAAGTTCTGTGGATCAATTAACCACTATGGTCTCTGCCTTGTCCAGCTATAGTGGAAAACCAGGTCCCCCTGCACTGGCACAGAGGTCAGTCACACTGGAAGGTCCATCTGCAGAGACCTCGGCAGCACTGCCTGATAACTGCAGTGCCTAAATACACACCTCTCTGAAGGGAGCACTTGTTTTTTTTCCATTCTCTTGACTAAAGAACTCTTTGGTGGGAACAATAGATTGGAAGACTTTGTAACTTGGGAACCATTTGGAAAAATTGTAAGCAAGTATCTTTCACACAAAAGATTCTTTAGATTTTCGCAGCATTGCAGCTTCAGGGAGGGAAGATGAGGAGGGACTGCTGGGATGATAGAGAGGCACTTGACTTCTCTCATATCTATTCAGAAAGCATACTATAGAGTACCCCTCCTGAACATTGTCTCCACTGTGCTTCAGATTTCTGAATGGAAGAAGATGCTTAAGGGCCTGTACCACTTCTCTCTGCACGGCATACTGAATTTCTCAGCCAAGAATCCTCCTTTTTATGCCTGCATTATTCTGTCCAGCTTGCCATCTTTCTCAGGGGTTGCAATGAATGTCTGCTGCATCAGCGTTTTGCCTGGCCTGAAAATACATAATTCCAGGTCCAAGTACTGGAGCAGAAGCCCTTCAGCAGAAAAAGGACAAAGAATGCAGACTGAGGAACCCTGATGCTAACTGGAACTTCAACACTGTTTATGCAACAACTCCTGAACGTTCACTTGAAGGGAAAAGTATTACAGCTCAAACAGTAAAGAGCTATATATACACAAACTTTAAGCTTCTACATACTTCATTTTTTTCTCTCTGTTCTAAAGCCAGAGATCTAATAAACTAATCTAGAGTTACTCAAGCAGAACAAAAAGAGGTTCATAAGCACAACTGGCCACATTTTCCCCCTTCAGCAAGAAAGCTGTTCCTTCTTCTGTCCTAAACACAGGATTAACCTAATTGGAACATATTTACAATCTTAGGGATAGCATGACTTCAAGTTCTCTGATTATTGTTTCACAAGTACACAATATTTCTTCATTTTCTAGACAAACATGGTACATGGTAAATATAATTTAAGTCTATCACAAGCATAACAAATGGATGTAAAACACACTCAAATCATCCATTTGATGAACTATGTTCTTTTAGAAGAACATAATTCACTGCATCTTAGTATGACTGCTACATTGAGGTAAGTGGGATACCAATTATAATGATTTAGAGCCAGTGCTAAATAAGATTGTGCTGCAGAGCAATTAAAAACTATTCTTTAATGAGTTCTAAAATGATCTCCCTAAAACAAAAAGTGATGATTAAAATATTAGCAACAGTAATCCTACAGGTTAATATGCTCCATCCATATCCAGAAGGAGACCTGCAGATCTGCATAAATTCAAAATGGGTAGCAGATTTTAACACACAACTGGTAATAATTTCCTGGTCAAAACTGTAGTTATTAAAGTTAGGTATGTTTTTTTATTTATCTTTTTAAAAATCTATTCAGAGGTTGATTCTTTGGGTAAGAAATGGGAGGAAGGAGACTTTCCAATTAACAAACAGGATGTTGAAGAGATCTTAAGTAAAACTGCTTGGGAAAGATACTTAAATCAAATGGCTCAGAATTTGAATTTTAAAAGTTAGGTTAAACAGCCTGTTGCTATTCAAACGGCCATCCAAGCAGACAAAGAAAACAGGACAACAGAGATACCCAGTTACAAGTCAAGCAAAAGAAATTCTGGTGTATTTGACTGGAAGAAGCATCTTACCTTACTGCTACTTGGCAGGTTTACAGATTTGTTAGTTTGCCTTGTAAAAATGATGTTATTTTGTGCTATTTACCTTTCATTTCCTGGAACTTTAATACTGTCAGTGTTGTCATTTCCGTACTTGTTTTCCTGGCAGCACAAGTTAACAATGAGCTCACACTTGCTAAGACTGTGTTTATATTCAGGATGTGCTTTTAAAAACATACATCTAACCTCACACATGATATTACTGCTGCTGTGTACATTGATCTAACAGCCACAAGTTGTGTCTCAGTCTGACCTCTGCCCTGAAATTCCTTCTTTTTTCCTTGTCTTGAAAGGGAAAACCAGCTGGCTTTACACTTGGCAGTAACACTCCCATCTCAAAACCCCACATGGCACAAAAGTTGCACAGCACTCCCTTTAACAAAGCACATCAGTGGGTTTGTGTATAACTGACCCTGGCAGAAAGAAGAAAAGGGAGGCCATAACATTTCTCATGCAAACCCTTCCTTTAGGTGAGCGTCCAAGTAAACCAGTGGCAATTACAGCTGGATCACACTCTGTGGTGCTAATTCAGCAGAAAAGCGATGGTCAATAGCCCTTCAGTCCCCATGTATATCCCTGGCAACTGACCCAAACAATAACAGCAGCATCACACAAGTTGATATTCAGAAGCATTTTTGAGGGTGAGACTCACAGTCCCAATCAGAAATCAGATTCAGTGAGTTTGCAACATTTAGAAACAGTGGGACAAGAGAAGGGGGAAGGGACAACTGGAAATAGGACAGGACTCCTCTCATGTTTATAGACACATTGTCCAGGCAAGGAGAAACTGGTATATCACCATGAAAAGCATCAGGTTATTTTGAAAATATACAAAGACAATGAATTTGCAGTTTGGCTGTTTTAACAATATCACCTACCTTCACTCCATGTCCAATATCATCTAGAATTGTATAATCAATAGGTTTCCTGATGTAGCGAACTGGTCGCTCCAAGTTAGCTGGTGCAATGATTTTGTGAGTTCTTGAGGTGTTTTTGTTTGTAGTCAAGATACCAATTTCTCTTCTAGCAACTTTCTCTTTGTGAATGTCCACCGTCTACAAAAGACGCAGTGTATTTACTAACAGTGGTATGCATTGGAATACAGAGTCAGTATCAAAAAAAATTCAATCAGTGCTAATGTTTTGAAAATCTCTCTACTGTACTAAACATATCACTACATATACTTGATTACAACATCTTTCTTCACCTTACTGCTCAATTTACCACCTCTAAAGCCACGCTAACAGCTGGGGGTTCTTTGGGTTTTCTGTTACCCTTGCTCTTTCAGTTTCAAAAAATTGACCTCCTTTCCATTCTTAGTGGTTTGCATCAATTTACTGACACTGTTTTGTAAGATTCCTTCATTTATTCTTTTTTATTTTACAACTGCTCTCTAAGCTTGTCTTTGGCATAGGCTTCAACTAGATGAGGTGTAAGGATGCCTTCCCAAACCTTAATTTTAAGACCTGTAAAACAAATCATGAACAAGTTTTGTTGCACTGCAAAAATCTGCTAAATTAGGACTGGTAAATCCTATGATAGAATAAACTTTCACTTAGACAAATCAAGAAAGTATTTTGGTCATTACAACTCACTCTCACAAAGCAATGATTAAATTTTAAAATACATTCCATACTAATGTATCCACAATAAAGCCAGAGGTTAAGCCCACTGCCTTCCCTTTGGACACCCAGGGCCAACTTTATATACTAAAATCAGTACCCCAGGAGAATCTTTGGTGTAAGACAAAGTCCTGCTGAAAATCCATTGCCTAAAAACATGTATGTCAATCTTGCTAGGTAACAAGAGTAAGAAAATGCTACCAAAAAGTCCACTTATCTCTTCCAGGAAATTATAATCTCTTAAATCATGGGCCATAGAGTTCCTTGTCTTATTTAAACCAAAAATAATTGCTTGTTCACAAAACAGCTTTCACTATAGGAAATATGCTAAACTGTGAACAAAAGTTTTAGCTACAGGATAAAAAACAAAAGTAAAACCAGCCAGAATCACCACCAAACAGTCAGAGATTTCTTGTTACCACTTCAGTGATCTTGAAAGGCACCAGAAACACTTTTTACAGTTTTGAACCAGACTTTGTAGTAACTGGGGAACAGGTACAAACGAGAACTCATTTTCATGACACACATTTTTGTCTATTTTATTTTTCTGTGGGTAGGCATTGGGGCAGTGGGGTTAGCCAGACTCTTTTACCCTGCTGTTTGTGCTACTGATACCAAAACAAGCTAATGGAACCTGTGCTACCTTGAACAATCATCATAATCTTTAAAATGACAAAAAAAAAAATTAGAAACCCCAACCAACCCCCAGCTACTTCCAAGAAGTTGTTTCTTTGCATTATTTCCATGGAAGGATTTCCACAAATGCATGGGGCATTATGTGAGCTTACAATACTATCATCAAGATTGCCTAGTATTTCCCAGCTACATATTTTCAAGATTTTGTAACTTTGCTAAAATTAGGCACTGACTACAGCTTTGCCATGTCCATTCTGCCACTCTAGTTCCACCTGCCTAGAAACTGTAAGGTTTCCACTAAAGGTGCATAGCTATTTCTTAAAATAAAGCTACAGAAAAATAGATTTTAAGGTGAAAATGTATTGGCAAATGTCTCTTTGGAAAGCTTGAGTTTGTTGCACGATGAATTTAATAGGGGTAGTTAAAGTGCCTGGGACACCTGCACAAAAACCACCCAGATTTGGCCAATACATAAATTCAGCAGGAATTCAAAACAAGTGTTACAGAAACACATGTATTTCTGCAGCTACTTAGCAACTAAACCACTCTCCAATGAATTTGCTAAGGTCCTTTCTGAAGCTCCCCAAGATGACCAGGACTATAGACCAACCCCCAACAGAGCAGTGCAGCTGAGCTCTTACAGGGCTGTATTTGTGGTACAAGCACAAATGCAAACAGAGCACAACAACATTTTCCAGGCCAGAGTACCTAAAGTACACCATTCTGCAGCAGGGTAAGATGTCAGATTTCATCTTCCATCTCAGGCTTTTATCCCTCCTCTGTGCTAGACCTTTGCTTTTGCAGCAGAGGGAATAGGAGCACACATTCTGGAAAAGATGGTCCACAGACTCCTCACCTCAGCAGAGAGAGGCACACACTGCCCTAGGAAGCTGCAGATATGTGATGGCAGCGACCTGGAAGGACGGTCTCAGGACTGATGCACCACTGATGAGTTCAATCTCTACTGCAGATTTATCAGTGCTCTAGCCATGTCACTGGAGAACTGCAGAGACACGACTTTCGTATGTTCTTTGTCTCACAGGCCCCTGATAACATTTGCTAGAATGTCAGAAAACTTCAGCTGCAATAGAGCTGCACTTCAGGATGTACCACAACATCAAAATCTTATGGGTCTGAATCTGGTCCTTCAAAACCATTTTATGCCTTGGATATTGCACTCAGAGCCTTAATTTCAATCCAGAAATCAAAAAGAAAGTTATTAGTGCAGGGTTGGTAAGATGATTTCTCACTTTCTATTTCAAGTGTTAGAACTCTGCAACTTTGAATATGTTCTTTTAGTACTTTCTGATGTAATTATCTACTAATATAATGCAAGTACAGATATTTAATGCCCATGTTACTGTAGCAATGGTAACTTGGTGCTGTGCAAAGCTGTTTCCATGAATGAAGAGTGGGTTTTCAATAGGAGCTGTGGGTACAACCAGCTTCCTTAAGGACTATTGTGATCATGAGGCATGACTACAGAAACAAACAATGAAGTGCATAAAACCTAATTAAAACCTGAAGCTCATCTGGTGGGATTTCCCTTGCATTATGATTCAGACCATCTCTTTTAACTTGAATAGTTACAGAATGACTAAATGTATATAAACTGCACCTAATTCTGGTCCACACACCTAAAATGGTATTGAAAAGCATTAGTTGGCAGTTTTCCAAACACTTCATTTTCTTGTTTAGTAGACTATGGAAGTCATGAGATCATAATACACCCATAAAATAGCACAAAGGAACACTACAGGAGGAGGTAACAAAGATTAACCTGCTACTAAAGAAAATGAAAACATTTATCCCCAACACACAGGTAATTATTACCTCCAGTACTAACATAAATCCCTTATCAAGACAGGAGAATGCACCAAAATGTTTATTCATCAGTTTAGAAAGTATAATGAGAAGTTTTTGGGGTTAGAGCTGGACTAACAAAACACCTGGCTTGAAAACTCTGTTAGGAAAAGCAGATGGGATACACTGTGCCCTTCTACAACTTAAACCCCTGTTTTCTAACAAGAAATTTTGGATGCCTGACAGCATTATTATGCTTTTAAAAATTGTTTCACGTATCTCCATTAGCTTTTTCAAAAGCTTTTATGTGACTGTTACTTAGAGGTTAGGCTCATTACTATCATCTTTTCATGTGTTTTCCAAGATCCCTGCAATAGCCAAGGGAAAGCCTAAGGGGAAAAATAAGTATGAACCACCACATTTTTTCCTGTTAGGAATTTTCTGGCCATTTTGAAACATCAGGTTTTCATACTGAATTCAAAAAAGCCAGTTTCAAGCTCTGCAAATATTAAAACAAAAAAGCCCCATGAAATAACTTCTGGGAAAGTTAGCACTACTTACAAGTCCACTTAAAAGCCACTGAACTCATGAGTTTTGAGAAATATTCTCTTCTACCCATAAACAAATTTTCTCAAAGTATGAAGTTAGCATTTAACTAACTTAAGTTAGTTTTGGCTGGGACAGGATTCATTTTCTTCACAGAATGGGGCAATATTTTGGATTTGTGCTGTGAACAGAGCTGATAACTCCA